CAGGTAGCTGAACTGTGCCAGAGACTTCCTCTCCAGGTGCTCCAGGTCAAACGTCTCGGCTTCCCGGCCACTCAGGTGCCTCACCAAATGCTTATTCACCATGCAGACGCAGCCCAGGTGAACCAGGGCCCGGAGGAGTAATGGCACCTGGGAAAGAGGAACCGGTTGTATACAAAGCATTAAGTCAGACCTCCCTTGGGATCCTGCATCCACAAGACCCTCCCCAAAAGATGCTGAGTCCCTAGAAAGAGCGCAAGTGTCAACATCCAGTTCGAGGAGCCCAAAAATAAATCCAGGTTCATTCCGTTGCCGAAAATCTTACTGTTTATTGAATACGCGGCATGGCATTGTCGAAGGAAAACTAACTCTGAGGTTCCCAGACACCCAATTCATACAATTAAACAATAATTTGTCTGGCCAACACCCCACCCCCTTCTCAGGTAGTCCATGTAAATAGATTCACTTTGTTATGGGAACCGTCTGCTTCTTCTTCACACCTGTTGGGGTGTCCTTGGAAAGGTTTCAGGCTCTCACGGTCTTCAATGGAACCGTAGAGGTTTCATTTCTCCATTTTAACCCATTCTAAAGCAACACCTCTTCCCCACCCCTTACTCTGACGGCACCTGCCCATTTTCTCTTTGAATCAAGACATTACCTGGGTCTCATAAACCCCCTCAATGTCTGGAGCAGAGAGGCTGGCGTTGATCTCATTGATGCGCTCCAGGTACATATCTTCAGGCACCGAGTACTCGTACAGGTTGAAGGCCAAGCTGGAACGGGGAAGAATTCGATTCACCTGCAAAGAGAACAGGAGGAGCTCAGAAGGAGACCTCTTCTCTTTCTGCCCTGAAGGCATTGATGGATTCCGAGAGTTTAATCAAGCTCCCTAGTCCGCACACTTTTGGTTCTCAGGAAAGGAGTTAAGCACTCCTTTCATTTTTAATCTGGGTCTCTTCAGTTTAAATCAGTTAATTGTTAACAGTGATTTTTAACTGCAAAGACATTTGTCAGACTTCAACCGTTTTTCATGGTTTGTCTTTTAGCTGACAAGACTAGAGCACCTCCGGATAGGAATGGAGGATGCTTCCTCCATAGTTTCCTTAGCAAAATGAAATGGAAGAAAGCAGGGGCAGTTTAACTGACACAGCCCAACACAGCGGGAGTAAACTTTCACAAGAAGGTTTTGGATGACCTGGGAAAAAGCTACCTGAATGACCAGATGAGAAGGTTTGGGGTGGAACAGAGAAAGGCTAGCAGAAATTCAATAATCCCTGAAAAATCCTTAACACTACATTGCTCTAGGCCGTTCTAATGACGGTGCCATCTTCCTGAAAGAGAACAGCATTAAGGACACCTAATGGCCTCTGAACGCTGATTTAACAGGCACAAAAGGTGTAGGGGTGAGTGACAGGTACCTTTCTATAGACCGTGCTCTCTTCAGGTTTAGGAACACGCTGGTTGATATAGAAGATACGTGGGACATTCAGCTTGAGGCAATAGAGATCACTCCCAATCACAGCCCATAGCTTGAAGAGGCCTGGCTGGCCAGTCTCAGCAATCTAGCAGAGGAAAAAAAAAGGTGGAAGGGGGATAAGGACCGAGGAAAGACCAGGTTTTCAGCAGTTGTGCCCATGTTGAACGTCGTATCTTGCCCAGGGACCTCAGCAGTGGGTGTGCCCTCCTTTATGCCCATACCTGTACTATCTGCCAGGGCATGTCAAGGATACTCCGGGCGGTCTTGCGCAGGTAATTGCTCAGCCCTTTGGAGGGCCCAGCTCGGATCACTCCGCCCCCCAGGACGGCTTCTCCATCGGCCAGCCTCCGCTTCTTCCGGCGCTCCTGGCGCTGACGAGCCTGAAGCTCCCACTTTTTCTTATGGTAGCGGAGCCACAGCAGGCGTTCCTCCTACGGCAGAGCAAACCAGACGGAGGGACTACAGGGAGCTGCAAAGCCATCTCAGGTGCTGGAACTCAGGCACCTGAAAGGTTTCATCTAGACAGAAGCCGGAAATGTGCCAAATGCATGACCATACCGGATACCCCTTGAGTTGGAACAGCAATTCTTCACAGGGATAATAACCAAGCCCTTGTGAGCCGCAGCCATAAACTTCCAATAATTTCCTTTTTCTGAAACTATCTCCATGGCTTTCCCACCGGGCAGCCCCAACCTCAAAACGACCCTTGCTGAGAAGATCTTGGCCTGTTCTCTGATGCAGTTGCAGTCCTGAAGAAGCTGACTTACTTTAGTGGTGCCGATGGGCGGTGGGGTTCCCAGGATCTCCCTCCACGATTGGGTGAGCTCCAGAGCTTGGGACTGGGGCTGGCTCTCCTCCGCTGTGGGGATTCGTTTACGCTTGCTTGATATAGGGGGCGCTGGCTGCAGAGGTTTGGTGACCCCAAAATCTTCCATGTCGGTCACTTGACTATTTGGGGTATCCTCCCTGGCTACGTTAGTGGAGACCTACAGGGAAAATCCACAGGCAATTATATAAAGGATGTCAGCTTTGAAACGTCGGTGTCCTCCCCCTAAGCCAGGGGTAGGCAACCTTGGCTCTTTTTATGACTCGTGGACTTCAACTCCCAGAATTCCTGAGCCAGCCACACTGAGGGGAAAGGGAGAGGTTTCCAAGCTGAGCCATGCTGGCTCAGGAATTCTGGGAGTTGAAGTCCACCAGTCATAAAAGAGCCAAGGTTGCCTACCCCTGCCCTAAGCCCCCCAGAGGCCAGAGGCGATGGCAGAGAACTGTCAGTTGGTCTCCTTACCTGTCTTTTGCCTTCACTGGCAAAGAGCTCGCTGATTTTTTTCTGCTTGAAGACGTCATTTTTCTCCAGCAGCTTCTTGTGCAGCCAATCCGGATGACGGACACGGGGGACCGGATTCTTCACCTGTCGGGACACCTCACAAGTTACCCCTTACTGGTTTTCATTTCTTTCTCCTTTTCCAGTGAGGAGGGTACAGGTAGCCGGCAACACACGGCCGTTGCAGCATCCCGATGGTCTGGTGATCAAAATTCAGCCGCTTGGCAACTGACTCCTATTTATGACGGTTGCAGCGTCCCAGGGTCATGCGATCCCCTTTTGCAAACCTCTGACAAGCCAAGTCAATGGGGGAAGCCAGATTCACTTAACAACTGCAGTGATTCACAACATCTGTGGCAAGAAAGGTCGTAAAATGGGACAACATTCACTGAGCAAACGTCTCAGTTAACCACAGAAAGGTTTGGGCTCCACTGTGGCCATAAGTAAAGGACTACCTCTACTTGGTCCCGGGGCTCATTTTACTGCACATTCTGTTTTCCTACCCTGTTTGCGTGTGAAAACGTCAGAACTGGCTTTTTCACTTCTGTACCCGTGTGGCTTTTCATGAAAGTTATACACTTGGAGAAAACATATCCCAAGAGGTTCTATTACACGGACTAGATCATGTCACTAGGGGTGACATGAAAGCAGTCTTCCAATATCTCACAAAGAAGAGGGGGGGGTCAATTCTCCAAAGCACCTGAAGGCGGGACAAGAAGCAACGGATGGGAACTGATCGAGGAGAGAAGCAACCTGGAATTAAGGAGAAACTTCCTAACAGGGAGGACAATTAACCGGTGGAACAGCTTCCCTCCAGAAACTGTAGGTGCTTCATCACTGGAGATTTTAAAGAAGAGATTGGACAGCCGTTTGTCTGGAATGGTATGGGACTTCCTGCCTGAGCAAGGGGTTGGACTAGAAGACCTCCAAGGTCCCTTCCACCTTTGTTATTCTGTTCTGTTTTACTGTTTAATGCAGTGGGATGGTTGACCCTCTCTCAAAGGATTCACTCCCGAGCATAATTACCTGCTGCAGTGCTGCTGGGATGGTGACAATCTTCTGGATTGTGCTGCCCAGTCTTTCAATGTAATACTCCCAGTCTAGGATCTGCAGAGAAAGCAGACAACCCGGATTAAGCCCAGAGGGATAAAACTGAATTACTGTACCTAAATTAAATCTCTGGTTATTAATACTGGCCACCGCGAGTATATTCCAGTAATCCTGGGGAAAGCATAGTATTCCAGGAGTCGTGAATCTGGACGATAACCAGATCAGATCCATTCAATTTAGCCTAATTGGCTCACCATTCGGATGTCAAAATCCTGCAGCGAAGGACTTTTTAGCCACTTCCGGAGGTAATGCTTGCGCACGGAGAGCTCGGCCTGGAAGATGGCAAGTGGGATGGCTCTGGGTGGAAGGAAGAATGGATTAGTTCTCCTCAAAGCCAGCTGAAGAAAAGCACAGGGGGTCCTTCCCTTACAAGAGTTCGTTTAGTGACTGTTCAAAGGTACAGTGGCACTGAAAAAGGCGACTTACGGCCGTTTCCCCACACTTACGACTGTGACGGCATCTCTACAGCCACGTGATCAAAATTCAGGCGCTTGGCAACTGACTCATATTTATGACGGGTTCACGTGATCCCCTTTTGCAACTTTCTGGCCAGCCAAGACAATGATTCCTTTTACAACCTCAACAGCTGCGATGACTCACTTTAGAACGGTGGCAATAAAGGTCGTAAAAGGGGGCAAAATTCGCTTAAGGAATGTCCCACTTAGCAACAGAAAATCTGGGCTCCTTTATGGCGGTTAAGTCAAGGGCCACCATCACCTGGAAACCTTTTCTGCCTCCAAAAGTATGGCTTGTGCCGAGCTTTTGAGCCCGTCTCAGAAAGGTTGGCCTTTCTCCCTTTTAGGATCTTTCCCGCCTTCCGTTGCCTCCTGAAAATGGGAATGACAGCTCCTCCTCAAAACATGCCGGCCGTTTACCTCTCGGTAACCGGGGAGCCTTCTGGTTTCTTTGAGATGATAAACCGACAACTCAGGCCGGCGTCCTTCACCATCTGGTCCCCAAGAAACTCAGCCAAGCGCTTGGCGGTGCTGATGGATGTGGATTTTTGCTCTCCGTAGTCCTCCAGCTTCCGAGACATGGATCTGTTCTCCGAGATCAACTCAAACAGCTCAGAATCGGGCATGTTGGCTGCCTGGAAGGAAAAAGACAACACTTGCTTTTTTCTGCCGCTGTAGCCCTCGGCCTTCCCTATGGATTCAGACGTATGGATCCGGTGCCCACAGGAAGCTACGTACAGCTTCCTCCTTCGTAGCTCCTTCCAGTAGTGCATTATTTGAACACCCAACGGGCTCAGCCATGGAAGTAAAAGGAAGAGGCATTATACCAGCAGCAGCAGCAGCAAGAGGATAAGGTACGCTGTATAATTTGTAATTAATTTATTCTCCTTGTTTCGGTTTCCGTGAAGTCCCATTTAAGGGTAAAAATAGCGACAGCAGGGCGAAAAAGCAGCTGGCAACTTCAAAAATCCTCAAGGCTGTTTTTCACTGCCTTTCCCAGCTGTCCCAGGAAACAGCGATCTCTTTCCGGAAGTGAACTTCCCAGGGCAAAAATTGATTTTGCTGCATTCCAAAGACCGTGAAGCTGTACAAGGTGTGTACGTGTGTGTCTCATCTCCCTCATCTCCCTCCCCGGGGGCCACAAAAGCACCCTGGGATCAACCCTGACCCTTTGCTGCAGGAAGAAATTTGAATCCCGGCTCTCACCTTGCTGTGCAGCACATCCAGCCAGTAATCGGCTACTTTGGCGACCGAAGCGTAGACCTCCTCCAGCGTGGTGCCCTTCAGGAAGGCCTCGAAGACCGAGGACTGGAAGATCTTCACCAGCTGCAGCTCTCCTCGCCGCTTCACCTCAAAGCCCTTCAGCTCGGCAAGGGAACCGTCTTCATTGAACACGGCGTATCTGGGACACGGCAATCGTCATTGGCAGGAACAAGGCAAACTCCCTCCGCCTGTATCTAGCACCCTGTCCCTCCCCTCCCCAAAATAAGGCTGGGTCTCATATTAGTTTTTGCTCCAAAAGAGGCATGAGGGTTTATTTTCCGATGAGGGCTTATATTCGGGGAAATACAGTATTCAATGTGTCCATCTGGCTAACGGATCTTCACTGGGGCTTATTTTGGGGATGGGGCTTATATTAGGAGCGTCCTGACAAAAATCATGCTAGGGCTTATTTTCCAGTTGAGTCTTATTTTTCACAGCAATCTCTGATCCCTGCCGCCTGGCAGAATCCAGACATGCCAGCATGCTCAGGTGCCACGTTTCAAGACCACTTCTCAGCCTCCCTTTATCCTACCTGCCCTCTCTAAGGAGACCCCCTTCCTGAAACGTTTAGTCTTCCCAGTCCTGGACTCTCACCTTTTCTTTAGCTTCTTGCCCTCCTCCTTGGAGGCTGGGAGGATCATAGCCAGATAGGGACCATCTACTTCAAAAAAGATGCTGTTCTCTGAGCGGGATACATACTTGAGGGATGCTGGGTCCACCAGCTCCTGGTATTGATTGTTTGTAAAACCCTCCTGTGAAAAAAAAATGGAGACACACACGTTGCCTTTGGCACCATATATGTTATTTCTGTTAAAGAAAGGGAAGGCCCATCACCACACACAGCATTCAAAGCTTTGTTACAGATATTTGTTGTATATTTTGTGGATCATGCAGCTTATTTTTTCACGCATGCATATTAGGCAAAGACAAGAATTGCATTTTGCTAACCTTCCTTTACCGTTTAGGCTTGAGATGCTCTAAGGCAGGGGTAGGCAACCTTGGCTCTTTTATGACTCGTGGACTTCCAACTCCCAGAATTCCTGAGCCAGCCATGGGGAAAGGGAGAGGTTTCCTAGCTGAGCCAGGCTGGCTCAGGAATTCTGGGAGTTGAAGTCCACGAGTCATAAAAGAGCCAAGGTTGCCTAAGGAGTCAATCTATCAGATTCCTGTCTGGTGTTACACAGTCCCAAGTGAATATTTTAATTTGCATTCTACTGATTTTGCCTGGCTAATCAGCAGCAAGTTTCTAGACAAGAACCTTTCCCAATTTATCCAACGTAGAACCCTGGACATGTCCCAAGAATCTCAATTACAATTAAGGGCTGTGGAAGCTAGCTCCTGAACCATGGGAACTGACTCTATATCCTTGTGGAGAAAAGAATGTAGTTTGAAGCTCCTCACCTTCACCATGATGTTCAGCATAGCCCCTGGATAGGAAATGGTCACCTTGGGTTTCTTGGAATGGGTTGACTTGATGACAAAGTTCTCTGGAAAGCTATTTGGAAGCACACACCATATCCCGTCTGTGTCAAGCTCCAGGGGTCTCCTGCAAAGGAGAAAACAGGAGATCGTGTTGAGATAACAAAACACACAATGCCATGCCAAGACCAGAGACTGCCAATGCCTTGGTGGTTAACAGGTATATTCTAAAAAAAACTCTTTATGTTCTGTCTGAACACCTGAAAAGACTCGTCTTAGAACAAAGCAAAAACTTAGTAAAAGCGAGGTCTTCAAGTCCAGGGAATAGCATCCATGCAGCTTTCCTGGCATATTACAGAAGTGGTTTCCTATTGCCTAAATTCGGAGGAGGAGGAGGAGGAGGAGGAGGAGGAGAAAAGAAGAAGAAGAAGAAGAAGAAGAAGAAGAAGAAGAAGAAGAAGAAGAAGAAGAAGAAGAAGAAGAAGAAGAAGAAGAAGAAGAAGAAGA